TCTTCCAACAACGACGGTTCTTCAGAACAGATGGACGCCAGCGAGATCGCTGAGCTCATGGCTGCAGAAAAAGAGGACTTCCCTAGCAAATTCCCTCTCTCGTTCCCCGAGATCCGCAAACACGTCAGAAAGATGACAACGTTATCAAGAAGCTCCTCAGGTACAAGCCAAACGATTACAAGAAGCAATCTTTCCGTAGAGGGGATAAGTCCTATTACTTAGTAGTTAAGGACGTTAAGATCGTCGTACCTAAGGCTATGCATAAGAAGCTAGTTGAATTGGTACCATGGGTTGTGGCTGATGCATCCTGGCGGAACTCGCACAACAACAACCCATTCAAGCCAAACACCTCCCTCCCTCGCGACCAGGGTGAACTGCGCAGGACTGTGCAGTCCGTATGTTAGCGTTGCCAAAGCTGCCGGATGAACAAACCCAAGACGCGTAAGCTGGGATAGATGCCTCCAAAGACTTGAGAGGAGATCCCTTGGGAAGAACTATGTATTGACTGATAGGTCCATACAACGTCGGGGTTCCTTAAGAAACAGGATTCCTGCACACTTCATTTCTTGACAATTATTGATCCTGTAACCGGATGGTTAGAGATTGAAGAGATCTGCTTCAAGGCAGCAGACGAAGTAGCCTTCGTCCTAGAACAAATGTGACTTACTCGGTATCCATGGCCTGCTGAGTTTATCATGGATAGAGGACGCGAGTTCCGCGCGGAGGTCGAAAAGACACTCCGGGAGGAATACGGACTTCGTCGCAGTCATACTACGCGCAAACCCTCAGAGCCAACTCTTATCGGAGACCAGTGCTTATTCATCAATCCATACGTAACTTGATCGTGGTTCAAAACATCAAGTGCCAAGACGAAATCGTTGAATTGGGATCCTGGGATGGAGTCTTCACGGCGGTTCGCTTTGAAATGAACGCAGCACACCCGTACTATCTACCTCGTTGAGCTCTCACACTGAGATCCAAGCCTGCCGATGGTGCACTTGCACTCTTCCGCTAATCTTGCCCCCCTTCCTCCCTATCGACTTCCCCTCTACTTTCTCCATTTGTAATTCAGATGCCTGCAAGATCTGCACCAGATTTGTATACCCCTGATACCGTTGGAACTTTGTCGAGGGTGACAACCAGCATCAGACTGTGGTCAAGATGCCCACAACGGATTACCCGCGACGTTGGGAGTAGATCAATTGGACGCTATAGGAGTGCTGAGTGATTCTTCGGAGAGTGACAAGACTGCAGGAGATGGAAACCACCAGCCACAAGCCTCTGCTATTAAATCTGATTCTCCGGACTGGGAAAAGAAGCCTAGGGCTTGCGAAGCCACCATTGTGGGTATCAAAAAAAAAACTGAACATCTAATAACGGATTCAGACGAAGATGTGTTGAGGACACCCGCGAGCCGAGGCCCGGGGTATTTCCCACAGTGAAGTCTGCTCACCGGCCACACTGGCCTCCTGAGAGGGTTTTACGCCTGTTAGCTATCTAAGGATTTGTACACTGAGGTCGGAGCCATGATTCACCACAAATCACGAGCTCTTTGTTGGAGAGAGTTGGGGTTGGTAAAGAAGTTTGAGGGGGGTAGGAGGGGTAAGGAAAGGGGATGGTGGGTATCAATGACACATCAGAGCACCACAAGCAGACTACTTGGACATCTCACTTGCTTGTTGCCGTTCTTTGCTAAACAACGAAATGCTGTAAATGAAACACGCAGATCATAAAGAAATTGAGGAAGTCGTGAGAGCGTTCCAACACCGTTTGTCATTCTTTGCCCCAACAGCCATGCAGCACCGAAACAGCTACTGGCTACTGGTGCAGTACCATACATGATGGCACGCGAGTTTCTTTCGTGGCACAATCCATGGGCAGAAGCCCCCAACGTGAGAATAGAGCTTTGCTAAATACTGGCTCAGCAGCAGATGAACCTCCATGATTGGAACATCCACTCAAGCATCTCGCTACAGCATGAATTCACGAGCGTTTTATGCCTTGGTGCAAGTGACTGCGCGACACTGTTATATCGTTTTTAAACGTTTTGATAATGCTTTGAGACAGATGTGAAAAAAGAAATATGAGTTACTAGTACCGCGTTAGATCTGCCATGCCAGCCATGCAGCGCCATACATGATTGTATGCATGCTCGCATGATATGTCGGCGGTGCCATGATCATGTTCGAAGAGTGAAGAGTGACGATTCATTGTCCTTCATCAACTCCTTTGATTTTCTTTGTATGGAAGGGGGTTTGTCGGCACTATACCGGGACGTTGTCACGCTAATGCCGTCGGGAAGCTTAAATTGTCAGCTCTAGCATCACCCGAAAGAGACAATCTCTATAATAGCATCACCTGCTAGACACAAGCCGTCGACGAGACCACCCCCCCTGCAGCAGAGGGATTTACCACGATTGATAGAAATATCGCGTCGATCTTCACCTCAAGTATTTCATTGCTGACTTTCAGAGCCTCTGCACGCAATGACTCTACCAGGGAAACAAGAGGTATCGGGGGAAGTGGATGTGGACACTTTGATGGTGGATATCGGACCTGCGAGTAACGACACTTCCAAGGAGATATCTACTAACCCACTCTGGTCTACTCCTGCCAGCAACACTACCGGTACCACAAACGCTGGATCACCCATGTCTGTTTTCGAAAATCTGACACCCAAGGATATCGAGAAGCTTGCATTTCTCCTCAAACCAGCCATTATCGGTCATGATGATGACAAGAGTGAGATTTCTGTGGAACCCTCGGCCGAATTCGAAGAAACTGTGTTGACCAAAAGTCAAATTTCTCTTGCAAATGAAGAGGAGAAGAATCACACAAAATGGCATGCTAGCTTTGGTGAGAGTACCTATTCTCTCTTCTATTTGTGCAGTGTCAATAGTTGGGCCTTCTGGTATGCAGCATTCGTTTATGTCCTCCAGGTGAGTGACAGGCTGAAAACCATAACTGCCAACTGAGAACCAATAATTTTTCCTCAATGCTTATATCATCATCTCAATTCCTTGCTGTATTCCTGCTTTTCTTCCGTCCTCACTTTTTAAAAGATCACAACCATTTTGCTGACAATGATTGATGTAGTCGACTGGGGTGGCAATGGGCTCAACTTGCCTCCTATGGTTGACTTGAGCGTCACCATTGCTCAAGGCGTCGCACTTTTCCAAGCTGTAGCTTTCCAGTCTGACCTCATTCAGGTTGTCATGAAGTAAGTTCTTATGTTGAGTGTATTCTTGCCATTTGGCTGTTGCGAAGCCCTCATCTGTATTTTGCAATGTTGCCATGCACAAACATAAATTTGCCTCCAGATTCAAAGACGGCTTCCACCCAGAAGTACTGGAAACACATCCCGGAGCAACCTACTCCACATGGCTTCTGTCCTGCCTTGCTCAGCTCTTTGCCGGTCTCCTTCTGCTAGTGACAATCTTCATTTTGGTCATGCAAGTTGATAGTGTCTTGGATATTATGCTCAACTTTGCTGCACTCGAGTTCATGGCAGACATCGATGATGTGGCGTTCACCCTTGCAAAGTCTGGTTTCATTGGTAGCAGCACCCAAAGGGCCGCATATGAAGTAGCCAACCTGAAAATCCAGAAACGAACAACAACAAATCGAGGATTTCTAAAACGTTCTTGGAAAACCGGGATATTCCTCATGATCCTCAGCATATTACTTGTTGGCTGGCTGGCCATTGTAGCCTTACGAAGCTCAGGGCAATATGTGTGCAACACTAGCATTGTGAATATGGGAGATGGATTTGTTTCCTCCCTTGGAACCTTCAATGGCATGTATGATTTGGATTTCTCTGGTGGCTTTTGGTTGGAGCGACGTGGCCGGTATGTGGAGAGACGCTCCATTGAAATTGATACACCGGGTAGGGGTGTTTTTTCGTACTGTGATGACATCAAGGCTTGGACTTTTCAAGTGGAATCAAGTGGCAGCAATGAGAAGGGAGATCCCTGTGACTGGATTGCCAGATCCTCTGAAACCGATGCTTATGATATCACAGGGGCAGCAACAATCCAGTGGTTTGTTCGGGATGACACATTTCGGGAAGTTGTACTTGAACCATTCAGCCTTTTCTGCTTTGACTGCTCCACTGCTGAGGAAGGAAGTGTTGACTGTGGTGGGAAAGGAACCTGCACTAATGCTGTCAGTGACTGTGAAGATGGCTGGTATGGGCTCCGTTGTGAATTTGTCAGTCCTTGCCCTTGGATCACAATTGATGCTCGAACAGAAAAGTTTTCGACTACAAGAGACTGGTCAACTGAATATGAATTCATTGAATTGAGCAACGGTGAACTGGTGGAATCCTATCACAGGCCAGTCTACGTCCATGAATATGACAGTGGCGAATATGATGTTGTCATGTTCACAGGGGCGCGGTGGGTCGTGACATCTTCTGCATTCCTTCTACACAGTGGAAGAATATCGGACAGGAAGCTTTCCAATAGTCAAGAAGGCGTTGGTTCCAACATTGGAAACTTCTTCAAGTATTTCTTCCATGCATACAATGGCTACTATGACAACTACACAGTTGCCTTTCTCAGTGATTACATGCAAGTGGGAACGCAGCTTGACTCTAATTCTCCTGTTAGCTTATCTTGGTTTTATGCCATAGCCAAAGAGGCCACAGCTAAAAATGAGAACCAGGGAACAGGCAAGTTGGTTGATTCAGAGTTTCTCTGCCACGTTTGCGGTGATGATTCGAACCCATGCCTGTATGATGGAAACTGCAGCAATGGGACATGTGAATGCTATCTTGACTCCTTTGGGAGTCTGTGTGAAGTCCCTCCAGGTATGCATGTGCACATGGACCATCCAAGTGAATGTTGCTCAGTTCATCCTCATTTAAAAACTTTGTTTTCTTTCATGCAGTCAACAATGGTCACTGTGACCCCTTTTTCAACACACCTGAGTTCAACATGGATGGTGGTGATTGCTGCGAGTCCAGCTGTGTGAGCTCACCTCAATACACTTGTGGGGCAGCAGAAGAAGGATATGTCAGCACAGGTTTCATCCACTGTGGTCTTCCAAGAGACAGATGGCACACCTCTCTTCTGAATGGTGGCGTTGAAGGCTCATTTGCTGGTTTTGCCGTGGATCTTTCAATGAGGTCAATGGTTGTTTCAGAACTTCTGCAGGACAGTGTGCAGATATATGACAAGGTTGGGCCATCCTGGATCCTTCGAGACACTATCTTGGGGGACCCAAGCTCAAGATTTGGATCAAGTGTAGCCCTCTCTTCTGGACCCTTCAATGTGGTCAGCAACCCAAGCTTCAGAGCCCCCCTTACAATTGCTGTTCAGGATGGCTTCAGAACAATTCATATCTACAAGTGCAGTCTTATCTATCGTTTAGTCTTGGCTAACTCGTGAATCCACTGCCACGGAGTAAATCTAGCTTTGCCGTCTTTGTAGCACAAAACACAAGCCCAACTGCTCCGCGCCTCCCGTTCGACGAAGAGAGTATGTGCTTTGGCTTTACAGACGTCTTGTTCAATAGCTGCATCTTCAGATCTGGAGAGAGGTATGGCTCAGAAGCTGCTAAGTGGTGGTCGACTGCCCGGCAGTGGATTTGGGCGCGTAAGATCCGGTACGGAATCCACGAATGCACGAATGAATCAGTTCGATATTCATCCAATGCCACGATGACAACCGACCGCATAAAGAGCGGCTTCAAATGAAATAATGTCATCTTCCGACAGCGACGATGAAGAGAATAGCATTGCACCTACTAGAGGCAATGATCCGCCAGCTAGTATTGTGGGCGGTGGTCCCTCTCCTTGGTCGCATACGTCTGATTTAACACCCTCGACGAGGAGCCGCCAAAATCGTGGAGCGCAAAATGACACCTCTCCATTGCATGCGTTGGCGACTGCAGCATCTTCTCAACAAGTCAACACACCACTTCGCGACATCAGCAACAGGAGGGAAACCGGAAACTCCAGACCCATGAACCAAGATCCTGATCCTCAAGGTGAACAGGAAAATGCACCAGAAGAATTGACTGCAGAGGAGGAGGAAGCAGCGTTCGACCGTGATTGTCGTGACAGGCACCCCAACGATGACTCTGATGACGAAGGCGAGCTTGCCAAACAGACAATGGTGGACTTGCATCCAGAGGAATCGCTTGCTTGTAATTTGGATGAGGAGCTGGCTGCTATTGCCTCCACTTTCCAACCAATGTCTCTTGATTCATTGGGAAAACGCAAGAACACGACTCTGCCTGGTGCACCACCAACCTGGAAGCCTCCTGGCGCTCCTACCAACTGGGAAGCTCCTACGAAACAGGTTAACTCTGAGCCTGCCTTTGAAGATGTGGACAATCCCGGAAACTGGAGCGAATTTACATTCAGGCCCAAGTACATCACCACTGGAACTGGTCGCAATAAGAAGAAGAAATATCTCTACCATGCAATGCCAACCGGAGCAACTCCCGTTCCAGCCAACGCTGACGATAAAAGGATATGCGAGGGATGGGAATTTCACTATGATGGTTGGAAGAAAGATACCCCCACTTTCCGGTCCGGTGCAACAAGAGACAACATGTTTCCAGACAGTCGAAAGGGTGCTATGTCTGGAGAAAAGCTAGCAAGACTTGGCCTGTCAAAAGACCGAATGAAGGAAGAAGATAATGCTCCAGATGCCCTTTTCTTCTATCAACTTATCCTACCCATTTGTGATACCTCCATGAATGAAAATGATCCACGCATGTCCTTCTACAAGCCTGTGGCAGTCAACAGCAATGGGTATGCCCTGTCCGAGCTTGGTCTTGGTATTGGATACTTCCACTCATTTCGTCCTGTCTCGATCCAAGAGTTTGTCCGCTGGGATGGTTCGGTGGTCCAAGATGGAGTGCTGGGTGGTAGTGATGGCGCCATCCTACGTCGATTTGAGAAGAGGGCCGACAACTGCCAGTATTGCCCTCTCATCAACAAGTCCATGGGGAAAACACGATGGCTTTTGATCAAGCGGATCTACAAATTGTGCAACAACTACGCCGCACTCAAGCCAGTAAACCATGGATACGATCCTTGCTACAAGTACGATTACATTTACAAAACTATCTGCCACAATGTCAATGCTCTCACCAAGAAGGCTGGATTGGATCTCTGCGGAGACGAGACATCGTGGGGCCACCAGGGATATGGCGAAGCAAGAGCCGGTGTTGTCGGACAAATTTTGGGTAAGCCTGGCATCTCACGAGGTGGACAGACTGTTTTGGTTGTTGACGTTGACCGTATCCGACCAAGAGCCTACGTCCATCGCCACAAAATCCATGAGTTTCCTTTCACGCTCAAGGGTCCAAGTGAAGTCCGCATGATCTACGAGAAGCTTAAGCCCTACATAGAAGTCGATGAAAATGTGGAAGAGTCGCAGCGGAAGCCCATCCTCTTCTCTGAGAAACCGCATTTCACGTGGGATAATTTCTTCTCCGGCGATGTTCTCATGGAGTACGCTGCAACGGAAGGATTTGGTCTCACCACAACATGCAGAAGGGATCGACTACCGAAAGGAATACCCTCCAAGTACTGGTGTAAAGAGAAGACAGACGGTAGTGCCAGGCCGCGAGCTGCGCGATATGAGAAACCGATCTTCGCTGTCAAGAAGAAGGGGGACTCCATGCTACAGTTCACCTCCTTCCAATCCACGAGCTCCTGCAACTTTGCCTCTGTCAATGCAATCAACCAATTGGATCTCTATGTTTCTAGCAAAGAGCGAGGCAGAGGCAACAACAAATACCGGTGGTACATTGAAATGAATGATGCCCGGCAGCTCTATTTGAACTCCTACAATGGAGTCGACAAACTGGATCATCTAATTCAAAACTGCAACATGGGGTATCGGTGAGTAACCTATTTTGTTATTGCTGCTGCTCTTTCCGATTTGGCTGCTAACAGATCGCCTCCTCCAGTTGCTGGAAGTATTGGCACTCGCCAATGATCCATGCTAAGGCAATGGCAATTGTTGTGGCATATGATATGTACCTAGAAGCGTGTGAAGGTAAACTCGATGGCCTGGCGGATTGTCATGTTAAAAAGCCCGTTTCCTTTTACAGGTTTCGGGAAAAGCTTGCCAAACAGATGCTGCAATATTCTCCTCGTGAGTGCAAGTATCTTGGGGACGAGAAGATGCGAGTTAACACGGCAACCAACAAAGCAAAAAGGCAGCGCTCCAGGAGCCCTCCTCGACGGCACACACCTCTTGATGATGATGATCTGACGACCGCTTCTGGCATCACCGTGGAAACAATTGCAAGCAACAACCATGGGGATCGCCTGTGTGGATTCATCACTCCACTTTTAGAGCATTATCAGCAGTGCAAGACCATGCCCAACAAAAAGAGACTCGTCTGCGTCTTCTGTGGCAAGGGAGCTTATCAGTTCTGCCATTGTTGTGGCAAGCCGATGCACAAGTATCCGCAAGCAGACATTGGCGATGGCAATGTTTCTTGCTTTTTCCACTACCACAATACTGCGGCAATGGGCCTAGCGAGGGATGATTGGAGGCACACCGGCAAGAAGCAGAGGGACTGGAGCTACCCCACACCGGCGCAGTTTGAAGAGAATGAAAACCAAATGAAGAGGATGATCGAAGAAATGGGGAGCCGCACAGCTAACAGAAGCAACAACAGTGATAGCGTCGATGGTGGTAGTGGTAGTAGCAACAACAGTTCGAGTCGAATGGGTGGTAGTCGACAATCCACTCCGTAGGAGTGAGTATTCACATCGGGTTGACACTGCGGCAGAGTAGCCACTACAGAAGAGTGTTCTCGAATTCTTTGGCTCCAGTAGCGCTCCAGTAGTTTAATATACGTAGAATCAACAGTGGCAATGGGAACACCCACTGCGCGGTAGTGGATTCAAACAGCCAAGACTAAACAATAGTGGCTGCACTCGAACCCAGGAGTTCCCACGGGTTTTTGACTTTGCTTTGTCTGACGATGGCACAGTTCTCTCGACGTCTTTGCATGCTGATAACCAGCCACCCAATGTGATTCGAGTCTATGAGTCTCAACAAGGATTCTTTAGGTTCCGCGCAGATGTAAACATCACAAAAAAAAGTACCTTGGCCAATGTCTATTCCTTGTCGTTGAGTGGAGATGGCAGCAAGCTGGCTGTGCATTCGCAGGTGCCAGTGTTTGACTCAGAGACCAACTCTGATGTGGTAGCAGATGATTACATTGTTGTCATGGCCTGGGATGAGTTGACTGGTGAATATGCTAAGGAGATTGAGTTCCGCTTTGAGTCTGATGTGAACACCATGTTCGACCCCTTGTCATTGGCTTTGAACAAAGATGGCAATGTTCTTGCCTATGGCCTCCTGACTTGCCGAGGCACCCAGCTTCACATTTATATTGGCAGTCATGAGGGTTTATGGGCACCACAGAGAGCTCCACAGATAAACACCACTGGCTGCATTGAGAGTGGTCGCCCATTGAAAAACAATGCACTGGCAGTATCTGGTGATGGATCCATGATTGCCTTTAGGGTGGGTAACAAGGTCAGGGTTTACAGATGGGAAGCTGAATTCAAATTTTGGAATTCTTTGGGAGATGAGTTCGCATTTACACACTACCCAGTTGCAATGTCTCCTGATGGCAATGAACTTGCAATCGGCTCCCCTGAAGATCTGATTGGTGGAGTCACCGCTGTTTATGCTCTGCCTGAAAAAAAGAAATGTCCCAGGGACATGTCACTGCTACGTCTATCCCTGACCATTGATAGGCAAACTGAAGATATAACGTGGATACTGGCAAACAACAGCACATCAGAGGTTATCTTGGAGCAGGAATCTTACCCACTGGAGTATGCCTATGCAACATTTGTGGAGGAGACCTGTGTCCCGGCTGATGATTGCTATGTGTTTACATTCCAACAAGAGGAATCGGGGCATGCTCATCCCTGGACAGTATGCAATCTTCATGGATGGGGACAAGGTTGCCCAGGGAACCTTTAGTGGTCTTTTTCGAAGAGAGCAGTTTGGAAGCTGTGCCTCTTGCCCCACAGGTACAGAGCTGTTTCGCATGATGTTATTGACATCCGGACCCATGGAGTGGGCCCTGTTGAAGTTGATTGATCAAGGGGCCAACATATCAGTGCTTCATAATGACAACAACTTTGACAAGTTTTCCAATCAAACTGTGGACCCACTTTGCTCTGATTTTGATAATAGGGTATGGGATCCTGACCCAGTTGCTCATACATATGATGCATGCCTGGACCCAACAGAGTGCTATGGGGTGCGAGTTTCTTCCAACAAAGCGATCTTCAGACAACTGGAAATAGTTTTTGGGGAGGAGAGAGTCAATACTTTACTTAGTGATTTTTGTGAGGTGCAGACCTTTTTTGTGGGAAGAGAGGACAAGTGCCTGCAGGAAGAGGACTGATGGTTGAACCAACAGGCACCGTTCCTTCAATTTGACATGTTGTTAATAGCTGATTGCTTTCATATTCAATTAAAAACAAAAAAGAAATTAAAATCTCTAAGTGACGCCAAATGACGGATCAACGCTCTGTCGCAGCTGAAGCCTTGAGCAACCGCACCCGGTCTAAGAGTGGGAATTGGTTTCACACAAGACCACCACTTGTGCCCTCACCGGCACCACACTCCTTAATAGGGAGATGGTGCATTTAAGTTACACGGGAGTATAGTAGGCTTACGTCGTGTGGATTACGGTATGGTACCAGTACCGCTACTGCACTCTCGCCGACACCACGTGCACTCCTACGGTACATTTAAGTTTACACGGGAATATATGGCATATGGATTATGGTACGTTATCAGTACCGCACTCTGTAGAGGGCGGATGAATGTTCCTTGCACTCTTCAAACCTATTTCTCGCGAAAACTGATCCAGCCACTCTTAGAACTCGTGGCTCCATTCTCTCACGAGCACAAAGCAATCTAGCTAGCACAACTGATGGGATGATGATGAAGCACCAGTGCCAAAGATAGGCGCACCATTTTAAAAAATGGTTGCGTGGATCTCGAGGCATGCAGAAACGAGATGCGGTGGTGGTAACTGTGATCGTGGTTGTCTTTTAGTTTGAATAGATATGCATTACGATGTAGTTAGTTGTCGGGTGGCTCCTTGATTGTGTTTGGCTTGCTGCCTCGATCCATCCATTCAATCGTCCCACCAACGCTCACGTCTCCCAAGATGGTACTACCGACAGCACATAAGAATGCCCCAGGCAAGGGAAGCCGATCCAATCTCTGCGCTCGAGTTATTATCAAAAAAGTGGCTCAACTTGGTCAGGCTGCCAGAACTGTGTTGGCGTGCGGTGAGGACATGGCTTTGCGGTTTCACCATTGGTTCATCAACACGATCTTTCTTCAACACGAGGTCCATAACTCTATCCCTAATAATATTTTGGCTTTTGGTATGGTCAAAGTGCGCCATTTTGATCGACACACCAACCATGGCGGGGTATCCAAATACGCCGTTCCGATCTCTTCTAATACCTCTTAGACGAACGTAGAGCAACTTGGTTTGGTGTTGAAAGGTTGTCTGGGTCACCACCTCCGGTCGGCGGCAGCCATTTCGCCATCGACGACCGAAGACAACAAGAGGAGTGTCAACGAACGAGCGAACGAACGAAGCGTCTCGATAAGGACAATCTTGTTGCGGTAGCGCCTTTTCGCTACCACTACTACTCGCTCCGTTGACTGCCTACTCGTTGCTGGAAGCAGAAAGGATGCTGCGGAGTGACTGAATCAACAAGGCCAACGAGGATTGTAGTAGCGGCAGTGATCGGCTTGCTACTGCGGAACCAGTGGTCGTACGAAGCCAACAGGAGTGTCCCCAGCAAGCAAAATACGATGGTGGAAGATCGACGAGCGAATCACGAAGGCCGCAAAGCTTATCGGAGCAACAGGAAAAGTGATGTATCCTCTACAGAAGCAGCCACCACGGCGAATTTTGCCTTTGTCAACGACGCAACAACGCAACGTCCGAAGCGTCTAAGCTCACAACAAACAACACAACGCTATCACACAACGCTATTACGAAGCCGACAACAACAAAGAGTTGGTGACCACTTCTGCAATTAACGAAAGGATTGACAGAGCCAATGTCGAGGAAAAGTGACAATGATAAAGACCTTCGTCGAGTATTACGCCACCATACTACGGATACCACCATCCCGATGATACCAACGTTGAGTGATGGTGAAGTGCATTGACATAATGCATGATGTTATTGACATGCGGACCCATGGAGTGGACATTGTTGAAGTTGATTGATCGAGGAGAAACAGGTGTCATACTCCATGAAGATGACGCGTTTGACGGGGAATATAATGATGCTCTGTATGAGACCTGCAATGAACATAACCTCGGGGACTGTGGAAAGATCATACCAGTTTCGCATGATGCATGCCTCGACCCCGCAGAGTGCTATGGGGTGCATGTTCGTTTCCCAAGAAACTACACTGCATACCTTGAGCTGGTGTTTGGGGAGGAGAGATTCAATGCAACCCCAACTGCAGTTTGCGAGGGGCAGACATTTTATGTGGGCAAGGAGGACAAGTGCCCGCAGGAAGGGACTGGCTGAAAAACAGGCACAAGGTCAGAATGTTTCCCAAACACCCTGGCTATGCAGCATTCCATATCGGCATATTTGTAGCTGCGTGCTTCAAATATATAAAGATTTCCATTACAATTAGATTGGCTGCTCGGAGCTTTGTTGCAAGGAAAGAGTCGAAAAGACACCAGAGCATCTCTGGCAGGCAGCGCCCACGAGATGGCAGCCGGATCTTTCTCTAAATCTCTAGACTGCCATTCACAGGACATACTGGGACCAAAATCGCTTGATGAGATCTGAGGGCAACATCTCAGTACGGAACTTTGCAAATGCCGAATGTTGAACATCAGATCGAGCTTCCTAGAATAACTTGGACAGCTGAGTCAACTGCAAGCAATGTCTCAATTGCTGTGCCGTTTGCCTCTCGGTTTGAAAACTGAAGTGTTGCATCCGTGTCACCGCCGGGTTCCGTTTGTCCAAGGTGAGCAGCTGGTGCAGTTGCATCCGCAAAACCTGTCACTGCAATCAAAGCCAAGAACCAATGTATATTCATCGTCTGGTAGCAATCGAGTTCTTTCGCAATAAGCGCCGGGAAACGTCCCCGAAAGAAATTCATTTCCAGCAATATCCAAATAGGTAACATTTCGCCACGCTTCGAACAGGTCCATTGGTAGCCATCCGGACAAAGCATTGCTTGACAAATCGACCTTTCGAATGGTGCTGCCCCAAGCTGATAATGTAACTGGAACATTGCCGCTGATTTGATTGTTGTGGATGTCAAACTCTTCTAGAAGTGCTAGAGCTTTCCAACAATCGGGGATACTGCCCGTGAAAGCATTGCTGGACAGATCCAACATCACGAGCTTGGTCAAGTTTCCCATCGACAAGTCGTCCCGTGTCGTCACCAAAGGACCCGAGAATTGATTCCCGTGCATTTGAAGGGTCTCAAGACGTGTCAACCGAGCAAACTCGGTCCGCAAGGTCCCTGTGAATTGGTTTTGGCTTACATCCAACTGTCGCAGAAGTTGCAATTGTCCGACTTCGGTGGGCAACTCGGACTCCAAAGCGTTGTTCTGCAATGGAAACTCTTTTATGATCGAAAACAGTCCCACTTCACTCGGCAATGGTCCGCTGAGTAGATTGTCATTGAGTGACAACCAAATGACATCCGACCATCGCCCCAACTCTGTGGGGATACTTCCCGAAAACTGATTGCCTAAAAGGTAAGTGTACTTCATAAGCGACAGCCGACCCAACTCACTTGGCAACGTGCCACTAAAGGCATTGTCGGCAGTGGACATGGCTTGCATCTTGGTAAGAAGTCCAATTTCGGTGGCAAGGGATCCCGAGAACTGATTGCCGGACAAGAGCAAATTTTCCAACTCGGTGAGCTGTGTAAAGAGTTCCCGTGGCAAGCTTCCGTTCAGTTTATGTCCTGCTCGTCCCACATCCAAAACGCGAAGCTTGGTCAACAAGGCCATCTCAGTGGGAATGGTCCCGTGCAACCAATATACGACACAGACTCGACAAAGCCGTGAAATCCGACGGTTCCTCCTTTGTACCAATAGGATGGAGCTTTGAGGTATTCCAAGTCTCGTAGTTGCCCAATGTGGGTTGAGATGGTGCCCGCGATGGCCGGATTGAAACTAAAGTCAAGGCTGGTGAGAGACGTGAGCCAATAGATTTCTTCCGGGAGTGTCCCATACATGTTGTTGTGTCGCATCCATAGACGAGCATAGTAGGGATTGTCATAGCTAATTGTAGTGCTGTTGGCAACAAAAGTGGCACTATCCTCAATGATGGGATCATGCCCATGACAGGGGGAAGGATAAGTGGTGGAGTGACTCGTAATGGATCGACTCTCCGCAGTGTACCATGCACATTCATGTTCTACAGTCAACCAGTTGTCGGATTGAAGCCAAAAGGTTCCATTCATGGCATAGTAAAAGGTAGCCAAGGCATATCGTTGGCGAAGGCGAAACTGTGGGTAGCTTTGGTTGAAGGCGTCTTTGCGAATCCAATACAAAGCACGAGACTGAGGAGAAGTTGGATCATGTAGCCCTTGAAGGGTTGATGACGTGTTGGTAAGATTTCCGAAAAGTTGGTTCCACAGCAAGTCCGTTTGCAACGTTGGGGATGTGGTATTCTTTGCGGGAACGCTGCTGGTGCTGCTCGTTCCAAAGGAACCAA